AATTTAAAGTGTATATTATACAATATGTAAGATATATATCGAGTTATAACGATAGTATCGAATAATAGCGATTAAATAAATTCGTTGATTATCGATATCGATGTATAATCGATGAATATCTAATAATCGATATTTACCGATATTGGTTAAATATCGAGTAATAACGCATTTATCGATATATATCGATATTTTTCTAATGATATATATCGATATAACGTTATATATCGATATATATCTAGTAATAAAATTTCTCAATGCTGTTCATAATATAGATCATTTTTGCTTGTTTGATCAATAACAATGGGCGCTATATGATTATCTCTTCTAATTAACATTTTCAGCTTAGCATTAGGCCTAAAAGTTTACAAATTTTCTGGACATCATGCAAAATCATTTTCTTGATTAGTTTTACGATAAATATGTAAATTCTGGGTTATTTTTGGAATGTCTTTTTTAGGTTCATACTGATAGAAATCTCTAACATAAAGATAAATATTCTATTAGTATTTCCATTATTTGCCAATTTTTAACAATTGAACTTTGTATTATTTCGAAAAGGAATAAAAGTTTTGAAAATCTATTATTAATACGCATTAATTTTCAAATTTTAAATTGGATAATGGATTAGTACATTGCTATTACAATTACAAGTCATTCTTATACCCTATAAAAAATATTGATCTGTGTTTATTATTCCATGTTTGTTCCATGAATGTTTCATTTTCATGGAATTTATAACCTTACATCATTGAAATTTTCATCTCCCTAATATGGATATCCATAAATGTATTATTTTCATAGAATTTTTACTAAGGCCACGGAGAAATAATGGAAATATTTGGATAAAATTTTTTTATATGGATATTCGGTAAGTTACCGATAGGTTTAAATTCAATATAGTTTTATAATACCTTATGATTTTACTGATTTAAAAGTTAATGAACTTGAAATCATCCGAACAAGTAAAATGCTTTTTAAGAAAACCTTAGAAATTAAAAATTTTGATACCGAAAATTCAGCCAATTAAATTTAGATTAACAAAAAAAAAAAAAATTCTGACCCCCGATCGAAATTTCGAATGACATTTAATACGAAAAATACGCCTTAGTAATTTAAGTGATGTTGAATTTTTAAAAGTTTGAGCAAAGTTTTTTCGATAAATATATTTTAATTATACGAATGTGGAGAAATAAAATAAAATCTGCAATTTTTGAAAAAACTTTGTTTTCGTAAAATTTCACGTTACACCAGATCCTGAATTTTGATTGGTATATGATCATTCGGAGCGCTGGAAATCACATGACCCGACACCTCGTTTTATCTTCCTCAGCATATGGGCTAATTTTGACCGATTTATGTGATATAAAAATGTGATATAAAAATATGATTCCTCACATGATTGATAAACATTCATGTGATTGGCTAATGTTTGCAGATCTAAACACGACTATTGATTAATCAAATCGTCCAAGAAAATAAAAAAAATTCAAAATGCGAACATAAATAATAACTAGGCAATGGAAACCATTTAAAGTCCGAAGGAACTAGACCGATTTTTTATGTTACACAAAATCTAGCCAATAATATCAACTATCTATTGTTTTGTTTTTTTTTTACATAACACCTGATCTAGCCAATCACAATCCAGAATTTGTTAACACGGACATAGGGTACACTATTGCCCCGTCTGTAGTGTCCTTCGGACAATTAATTACAATAATATGAACAAACTGTAATGTTTATTTATCGCATTTTTAAACAGTAAATTGATTATAATCTTTCATTATCAACGTTTTTACTAGAAATGTGTTCTTTGAATCTATATTGCCGATTAAATAACAATACACTACTAATATTTACAATCTGCTTTCGTATTTACTAACCCAACAAGCTTAATTTTTCTATAATACTAAATTAAAACAAGATATTAACATTAATAATTTTGATAAAATCATATTTTAAAGATTTTAAATAAACGATACATGTAAGATTCTTTTTTAAAATTAAACTTACGTTGAATACCTTGTTTTTTTCATGTTGACCTTTTCGTATAAAAATTAGATACATAAGGCTGGCAATAGTAAAAGGTAGAATTATAAAGTATTGTCCTCTAAATAAAGTTTATTCGAAGTCGAATCTGTGGATTTTCATTGCTATTATAAAACGTAAAAGTTTTTTTAAAAAAACATTATTATGTTGGTTTAAATTCTACATATATTAAAACTCATCTCCAACGTCTAGCTTTGGTTCTTGATTGGTTAAAAGAGATTGTTTTTTTTTTAGCATTATCGATTATCATAAATAAAAAAATTTGATTGGTGAAGATCTTAATCACGTTATTCGCAAATGTCACTTTCTAAAATCTGATTGGTAATACTTGTTGAAGATCGATTGGTAATACTTGTTGAAGATCGATTGGTAATACTTGTTGAAGATCGATTGGTAATACTTGTTGAAGATCTTAATCACATTATTCGTAAACATCACACAAATCGGTGTAAATCCGCCCATATGAGTAGCAAAACTTACATTTTTGATACTCCTGCACTTACATTTTTGATACACCTAAACATACCCTAAAATTTTTATAATTTTTATTAAAGTTTTATTATAAAAAAATACAGTCCTATTGGTTAGTTTTTAGGGTATGTTTAGGTGTATCAAAAAAGTAAGCGCAAAGGTATCAAAAACGTAAGATTTGCTCCCCAGTATCGCCTTCAAAAAAGTACGGACACGTGACCGTATTTGCGACGTACTAAAAAATCTTCAAGCTCGTTTAAGTTAGGGTTAGCATTAGTATTGAGGTTAGACGTTAGCAAGTTAGATAGTAAAATCGCACAAGGAAAACTTTTTGTTAGGGCACTAAAGGTTTGTTTCCTATGCCAATTTTTGAGTTACAGCCGATTTTTGGCAAAAACGAACGCTTGTTTTGAATTTTCCTGATCGTGTTACGTTATACCTGATCTTGAAATATGATTGGTTTTGCGCTACAAAAATATCACGTGTCCGTACTTTTTTGAAGGCGATACTGGGGTAGTTCCTCGTTTTCGCCATGGCTAGGGTACTTATGCGCAAATAGATGCACTCATCTCGTATGGCTGCTATGGCATAAAGTTTTACCGGATAGACGATCATCTATTTTGTTAATTTTCATGAGTGTATGAGATGTATCAAATAAGGTATAGATCAATAAGAGGTATGTAATATGTTATTTTTTTTTTTACTTGGCGTTATAATATCAACAGTGATACAGTATTTATTATTAACAGAAATCAGAAACTTTCGCTATGATTTTCGATTTTCAGTAGTTCATCACAAAGAATATTCCCATGAACCTTTCTGTCTGTAACACGATAGACACTATAGATCAGCATGAAGTTCCAATAGGCTGGTTTAAATTTTGTGATACTTTATACCGGGTGTGATTTTACATAAGGTAAAATAATTTGGTATTCACTTTTTTTGCCTATTTAAGATGCATTTAAGAATTGGGGTCTTTGCCTTGAAAATCGCCTTCCGACATCTCCGATCGGGTTAATTCGGACAAAATAAACCAGAGTACCGGTTCATGTTCATATGTTAATCATCTTTTACTTTATTAATTCAATAGTTATTCGATAAACTATTGAATCAATAAAGTTAAAAGATGATTAACATATGAACATGGAACCGGTACTCGGGTTTATTTTGTCTGAATTAACTCGATCGGAAATGTCGGAAGGTGATTTTCAAGGCAAAGACCCCAATTGTTTTTTAATTTCATCAAAATCATCGTAAATGCCCAAAATATATAAAATTTATCTATAGTATAAATGAGTAATACATGTATAGACAGGCGATAATAATATTGGCATTCTATAATAATATAGGCAGTCTATAATAATATAGGCAATATCGGCAGTCTATAATATTTTCTGCAACCAAAAAAAATTTAGACACATGACATTTTGAGAAAATATTACTGTACATCATGCCGTCGGCTGAAACCATAAATCATCCATAATTTAGACACCTATGTAAAATGATAATTGGCTCTAATACTAGGTTTAAATAAGAATAGTCCTTTTCTAAATAAGCTTGATTATCTCAAATCTTTTTTTTTTTGGACTCATTATACCAAAAAAAGGCTTTGTACTATTTTTTTTTTTTAGTTAAATAATTGTGAAAATTTTCGATAATAAGTTATTCGGGAAATTGAATTATGGTAATCAGGTGAATATAATAAGAATTTTTTTCCAAAATCCTTGGTATGATATGCAACATTTTATATTACATGTGAAGGAGATACGAAAAGAATTCCGATAATAAAGAAAATATTTGGAAAAGTTGCATATCGCAATAAATATTTTTTAAATTACTTGTGAAAAAGATATACAATTTTATATGCAAAAAATAGGTTTTAAATTACTTGTGAAAAAGATATATAATTTTATATGCAAAATTATTTTGTAAAGATTTCTCTATATACAATATTTTTTGTATGTAGGTTTATTATTCTACCATAGCGTTGCAAACTTAATTAAATTTAAAAGATAAAATAAGTTACAAAATATTATTGTTTAGTAATTAAAAAAATTGAATTAAATTTAGAATTATAAACCAAAATTTTTTACAGTAATACATGTACGCACGCACGTAGTTTACATAACTTGTACGCATATTACACAATACTATCGGCCTTTAAATACTGTATACAAAAATAGAAATTAATTTCAATTTTTAGATTTGATAATAACAAAATGATTTTAAGTTTGCGACCATTCTACTAGAAGTGATCAACAAATTTTAAATAGGATTTTTATCAGCTAGTAGAATTATCACCAAGATCTATAAAAAGATGATTATTTGACCTTAAAGTATCTAATATTTTTCCCTTTGTGATAAGAAACTTTTGACGTATTTTTATTAAATCTAATAATATAAGTCTAAATATGAGAAATAAACATGTTTATCTAAAAACATTATTAATTTTATTCGTTTTCATAATACAAAATGGTTCAATGGTTAGAGCACAATTCGAACCTTTGGCAAAACTTTGGGGAGTAGAAAATAAAAAAGTACCAGAACTATTGGAAAGAGAGGCAAAATTAATTATGATAGACGGTAAATTACAACAGTTATTAAAAAATTCATATTTTGGAGGAACATATATAGATGTAAAAGCGAATAAAATAAACATCAATACTGTAGACCAATCTAAGGTCAAAGAAGTGAAAAATTCTTTACAAATGAAAGAATATAAAAATTATTTAAGATTTAAAAAAGCAATTAACTCCTTGTCACAATTAAAATCCACATACGTCAAAATAGATAAATTAATACGAAAATTTGATATAATTAATAGCATAATTAGTATTGAACATGAAGTTAATAATGTTGTTATATATTTAGAAGATAAAAATGATCAAAATACCAAAGAGTTTATTGAAAGTGTTAAATTTTTCAAACCGAAAATAGTTTATTCATCTAAAAAAGAAGAAGGAAAAATGGTATTAAATTCATTTAATTCACCTACTTTAGTGAAAAAGACACAAATCAATCCAATGGTAGTTGGTGGAGATCGAATTGTCACTTGGTATAACAATATTCCTTTCGGTTGCAGTGCAGGTTTTTGGATGAAAGATCAAGATCAATCAGATGAAGAACTTCTATTAGTCGCAGGGCATTGTGCCTATCCCTATAACGATAATTCACCAAAATGGTTTTATCATTATTATGGAGATACGCCTGTTTTAATTGGACATATGGAGAATTATACGCTCACACCAAATGATCTTGGTTTTATCAGAAAAACAAACCAATCACATATCAGGGCAGTACCAAATATACGGAATTTCAAGTTTCCAGCTTTGGCAAATCCGACATATGTAGAATACTTAATTTTAGGAAGCACAAAAATAACCAGTACTCTTAGTCATATATGTAAGTCGGGTTATGTAACTGGTATTTCTTGTGGTCATGTGACATCACTTGATGCATCCATTGGAAGTGAAACAGGTGATAAAACAGGTGGCTTACTAACAAGCGCATATTCTGTTAGAGGTGATAGTGGCGGATCTATGTTTCAATTCCGTTACAGTAATTTTTCGATACCTTACGTAAATGCAGTCGGTATACTTGCATCAGGTAATTTAGATAACACACCAAACAATAGTAGAACATATTGCGAGCCATTAAATAAGGTTTTTTTTGAATATGGTTATAGTCTTGTTCACCATCCACTTTTAGAGGTTATATAGCCACACTAAGCAGGAATGTGGATATATTACGCGTTATTTTCCAGTTTATGCTAATTATTAATTGACATGTGCCATTCATAGATTAGAACACATTTATCATTTTGCTATTAGAAAATTATCGTAACATGTAAAAATATTAAAAAGCATCCTAATCTTTTTCAATATATTTGATGATGTAAAACCGTGAAGGGTGAGAACAATTGAGGTTTATTATTTTATATTATTTTTCGATTATTTTATATTATTTTTCGATTATTTTATGTTATTTTTCTTTTTTTTTTTTTTATTTATTACTATTCTTTACATTTGTTTATTAAAAAGGAGAATAACTTGGTGGATATAGAAAAATAAAGTTTAAAATGATAATCTTCGAATGGCCAAAACCATGTTGTGATAATAAGATAAAGGAAAGCTAAGTTAGGAAAAGGTATTGCACGAGATATTGGGAACAAAAGAAGATTAGAAATAGCGTCGCAATATAGATGGTATAAAAAAACACTGCTTTTTTATTCTTGAAGTTTAAAGTTCGAAGTTTTTAGAATGTAAGAAAGATATTGAAATCTATTAACAATGAAAATTATAAAGGTTTAATTGTTATAATTATTGAAATCCAGTAAGTAGAAACGGATTTAATATAATTTTTTTTTATTTAAACCTTAACAAAATAATAAAGCCATGGGATCTGTCTAATGAATCAGAATTTACAAAAATTATATTAAAAAAATAGCAGCGAGAAACTTACGAAGAGGTAAATGTTTGATAACTTATAGATTCAGATAATCAATAGGTCAAAAAGTAACGGTGAATAAATTTACTTGGCGGAAATATTTTTATTACGTAAATAAATTATTTTCATTAATAATATTATGAGAGTTTGTCATTTCAATTTACAACCTTTTTTTTATACGTGGCTTGGCAAAATTTACCTTTAATTGAATATTCAAAATTTACCTTTAATTGAATATTCAAAATTTACCTTTAATTGAATATTCA